GGGTACCTTGCTGTACTCACATCCCCGCAACTATGCCTCGATCCCTTTATCTTCTATCACAAACATTTCATAATTACCTACCTTGGAAATACATAATGTAGAGAATCCTATGTTTAAGGATGGATATGTTACAGATTCAACTATGTTTCTTGAGACTACGTATAATAAAAGGCTAAAAGGCTGGCAGAACATGGTTAACCCATAATATGGTATCAACTATGCCCACCCCAAGAACTTTTGGACAATTGTAACTCCTAATTACTTTGCCCTGAAGTCTTCTCACTTTAAAGGCTCACATGTTAAAAAGATGTAACATTTTTTAACCTGATGTTTATTTTCATATTCTTCTGACATTAATCTCTTAAGCATCTTTCATCATACCAAATGTTCAGGTAGCATTAATTGGGATGTGGTACTACCAGGCTACCTAGTCCTGATGGCTTTCCTTCCTGCTAATCCCTGGCAGCCTTTAACAAACACCACTGTCCTGGGTGCTGACACAGGACAGTCATTACCATCAACTTCCACTCAGGTCACCCTGATGAGAATCACCCAAGTCCTGGGTAAACAAGGCCATCTCAGCTATTTAAGGAAAAGTACTGTAGTTCAGTCTGCGTTTCTTAAACAGTTTTCTTTCTTCAGAGAAGTCTCCCAAGTTACAACAGCTTTGGCCCTACCCTTTCAAATTCATCTCCAGTCTATGAGTTTTGCCCTTGTGCCTCAGAAACTGCAATCTCCTCAGGTTTCTTTCTCCATATTTCCTGGAGACTATGACTCTGGCTCTGAAAAAAAACGGTCATTTACAAGGAAGAGACAGTTCAGATGCATGTAGTTGTTTGTAGGCTGTCTGTCATCCTTCTTAGTTCAGCTGACTGCTTGGAAGAAATACCACAAATAGTTTTGAAAGGAGGATCTGAAGCGGGTACTAAATTATGAAGTGTTGCAAACATTGGAGAAGAAAATAAAGAAGGATTATTGGCACCATGAAAATGGTAAAAAAAAAAAAAAAAAAAAAAAAAAAGAAAGAAAGAAAGAAAAAAATTTAAATCATTCCCTTCACAGAACTGACAAATGAGATTTAGCTAAATGAAATATAAGTATATGAATTTGAGAACTACAACAAAGAATGGCTGGGAAAGGGCTGAGGAAAATGGCTTTAAAGTATGAGGATTAAAGAGCAAATGTGCTCATAAAAAAGTTCTCAATGGAATAGACAGAAAACAAGTCATTTTGGTTAATTATTCAGTAGAGACAGTGGGTTTTGTTTTACAGATGGGAAAATGAAACCTTTAGAGGAAAAGCGACTTGAGTATTATCATAAAGAAACAGGGCCCCACTGTTCTGATTCTCAACTCCCTTTGCACCAAAATCCAAGTGACATTCCATCTTTAATGTTCTATTGTTCTCTAAACTCAAAACTCAACCCTGTAGGATGTGGAAACTTTGATGCTCTTGGAAACTCCTTCTATATTTGTCTAATGCCAACTTCTGTGTGAGAAGAAGTTCAACCCAAAAACACAGGGCTTGGCATGGTCAAAAGCTCATTACAACTTCTCATTAGTTGTGTCTCTTGAGGCAACTATGGCATTCCTGAGTGTGACTCAGTATCTTCAGTCCTAACTGGGGTTCCTGATTAATCTGAACTGAGCCTGAATAAAGGCCACAGTAAGATCCAAGCAAATGAAGCAACATATCTTGTAGGAATAAAGTAAAAAAATTACAGGAAAATTTCTTGAAACGTCATCTTGCTACTAAGCATAATAGTACCTAACACTGATTTAGCATGTATGACATACCCGGGACTGTGTTTGTGCTTGATATTCATCAATTCATTTATTTATCTTAATAACCCTATGAGGCAGGTACTATTACTATTCCCATTTTAAAATGGGAAACTGAGTCACAGAGATGCTGAGTACCTTGCTATGCTGGCTAGAAACAAGAATTACTTTAGAACAGTGAGAATACATCAACTGATACTCAGGATCCTGATTTCGAGAGCCATGAAAAGTTTCTCTAGATTAAAAAATTACTTCATCAATCCAAATAAGTATGGGGTTTAGTTCACAGTAACGTGCCCATGGCAGTTTCCTAGTATGGTACATTCCTCAAATGCACCACGGCAATGTCAGATGTTAACAATGGAAAAAAATACTGGGCAAGTGGTACGTGGGAGCTCTCAGTACTATCCCTACAACTTTTCTGTAAATCTAAAATTAAAATACAGTCTGTTTTTTTAAAAAAAACTTTATCAGGATACTTGACAGAGAGAGCTTTTCATTGTTCAGAAGAGAAACCATGCTATTCTTTTTCCTAAAAATCAGAAAAATATCTGAAAAGAGTGGGGTCTTCACAACACTGTACATTTTACATGTTAAGTGAGAGAATGTTAAAGTCTCCGTTAGTACTAACTTAGCTTCAGAGACTTGTCCTAGAGTTTTAAAGGCAAATTGGAAACTATTTCCTGGAACAATGCCTTACAGCATGCCTTCTGATACCTGGATTATATTACTTAAATTCTGAAGAAATCTTTGCTTTTTCCCCCTTCTGTGCATTTTTGATGCTGAGCTGTTTCCGGTTTTCCCACACTCTTGCCTGTCACAGAGAAGAAACCACAAAAATGCTGCAAAGCAAAGTCTGCCCAAAGAGCTAAAATTCCATCTCAGGAGGCTGCGGAGTTCTACCGCCAGCAGTCAGTTCAGGGCAGTAGCAAGCAGTGTCTTCAAATGTCCAGCCCTGCTGCCTGGGCCCACCTCTCCACCAGCTAGCCACACAGGCCACCAAGGGCCCTCTGAGGGTACTGGCAATAATCGGAGAATCCACAAGGGGCACACTGGCAAATTCAACATTAGCATTTGACTCTCACATTTTCCTAGTTAACTATGGGCTTTCCAAACCTGTGAAGGAGAGTGTAGTTTTAGAATGCATATGATGGGGACCAAGGCTTACTGAGTTCTTAGCAGGGCCAGGCCTTACTCCATGTACTTTACACATATTAACTCTGTTAATATACAACAACTGACCTAGGAAGTAGATACTCTTATTGTTTTATTTTTACAAATGGAAACATGAGGAATATGAGACTAAGAGATCAAGTAACGTGTAACTTGCAGAAGGTGTCAAATTAGTAACGTGTGGCCTGAGGATGTGAATCCAGGCAGTCTGGCCACAGAGGCTGCACACCTAAGGATTTTTTTTTTTTTTTTTTTGAGATGGAGTCTTGCTCTGTTGCCCAGGCTGGAGTGCAGTAGCACAAACTCAGCTCACTGTAACCTCCACTTCCCAGGTTCAAGTGATTCTCCTGCTTCAGCCTCCTGAGTAGCTGGGACTACAGGCATGCGCCACCATGCCCAGCTAATTTTTTTTGTATTTTTAGTAGAGACAGGGTTTCACAGTGTTAGCCAGGATGGTCTTGATCTCCTGACCTCGTGATCCCCCCACCTCGGCCTCCCAAAGTGCTGGGATCACAGGCATAAGCCACCATGCCCAGCCTGGATTTGACTCTACTCTTTCTAGGGTGAGAAGACAGAGGTTCCTTTCTATTTTGCTACTGTCCTTCAACCACAAACTTCAGCCTTCCTACTGCCCTTTCCTACTACTCCAGAGAGTTCTGCAATCATTACAATGCCAGCTCTTCCCAGAACAGTGCTTGGTACTTAGCGGGCACTGAATAAATATTTGTTGGATAAATGAACAATGGCGGCAATATAATTAAAATAGTCACAAGGGATTGTTTTCTATCTAAATCCAGAATTTGATTCACCATCCAAGGAAAAAACAGTAATGACTTTTTCTATGTTTTAGGATTCTTCTCACAACTAATACTGATCTTCTGAAGGACAAATAAACAAGGAGCCTCAATGACAGCAAGAGAAATACACAAATCTCTACACGAAAGCATAGCAAGAAATGCCTGCCTCTTCTAAACACCTCTAAAAGTTCCCCAAGTTTAAACTGAAGAAGGGCTGCTAGAACCAACACTCTTCACCAATCTATTTCTAGCTCACTGGCTAAACAATGGCTGGAGGTAAGGGATTTTGACTTACAAAAATTTGATTTGGGAAAGGAAATGTCTTTTTGGTGTAAACAGGTAGACTACAAAAGGTATTAAAAACACTGTTGCTACACAGAGCTTGCTGACTAAGGTCGACAAAGTTATATTATCCCCCTAGATGAAATCTCAATTCTCTATCTTCCCATTCAAATGCCTAAAAGTGAACAAACCAAGGGGAATCAGGGTGTTGAATTTTTTTTTTTTGAGACAGAGTCTCACTCTGTCTCCCAGGCTGGAGTGCAGTGGGGTGATCTCGGCTCACTGTAACCTCTACCTCCTGGATCCAAGCAATTCTCCTGCCTCAGCCTCCCAAGTAGCTGGGATACAGGCGCATGCTGCCACGCCTGGCTGATTTTTTCTATTTTAGTAGAGACGGGGTTTCACTGTATTGTCCACCAGGCTGAACAACACTCCTGAGCTCAGGCAATCCGCCTGCCTCGGCCTCCCCAAAAAGCTGGCATTACAGGCATGAACTACCGCGCCCAGCCAGGGTGTTGAATTTTATATGAAAGTGAAAAGATCTGATTTTTCAGAATGGCCGAGAAAAGATATATCAAGGAAGAAGTTTCCAGTTCCACTTTCCAAGCCCACTGTGGTTCAGAAGTGTTACCGGCTGCACTGCTGGATTGTAGCTCCTGCCACGGGCCAGCAGAGTTGGTTAGCAATGACCCTAAATCCTGCAGGCAGCTCTCATCACAGTCACCTGGAGAACCTGAAGGAGCAGGGCCTGTCCCTCCCACACGGGAAAGCTCCGCCATCTGCATGTAGTTCCCCAGGCCATTCTAACTTGTAACCCAAGCTGAGAGCTAGGGTTAGCTTTTATTTCCCATCAGGTGTTCTTGTTTTCAGTACTTCAGTGCGAACCGTCTTGAAGAGTAATAAATAAAGAGTACCATTAGCTTAGAACTGATACAGCTCAGTAGAAATTGAACAGAAAAAAACTTACTTGGAAGCCCTCTGGGATGTTGCTCTTCTGAGCACTTGTTTGTGGTTGGGTGGGGGTTTGGGGACCAGGGAGGCGCAAGAACTTGGAGGTGGTATCACTTTTTGTGGCAGAGTGGTTGGCTTCTGGCCATTAGCTGTGGCACTGGAAATTCTGCAGCCTGCACCATTATTCACTGTCCATAAATTCGAGTTAGGTAGTGTCTGGCTGCCAAAGATTGCCTACAAAAAAAAAAAAAAAAAAAAAAAAAAAAAAAAAAAAAAAAAAAAAAAAAAAAAAGATTGATGGAGCTCACCTTCATATCCCATTTGCTGTATGCAACTAGTCTGCAATCCTGTCAAGGGACAAAAAGAAAAGTAGAACTGTTAATTTTTTTTTAAAGAAAAAAACTTCTCTAATGTTGCCAGTACAGCTCTAGATTCAGAGAAGGGGAATATTTTGGAGCAGAGTTGAGATGGTCTTGTTGAAAGCATACTGGGCTAGGAATAAGGGCACCTAGTACACTAAGTGTTGGTCCACATATGTGAACTAGAAAAGCATTTGCTCTCTCTCACTGTAGTTTCCTTCATTGTTAAACTCAACACATTTTTAATGACTGTCTCTTTCGAGGCATGAAGTACTAGAAATAGAGCACAGAATAAAACTGACTTGTAGCTTGACTTGATTCCTGCCCACTCTGAAACTCTGAGCTCCTCTAGAAAGTTTGCATGCACGAGGCAAGTGGGGAAGTCAGTGTGGCTAGGGCATGGTGAGCAAACACAGAGGGAAAGATGAGGCTGCAACAGGAACCATGAGCTAGGCCTGGTTATAATCCTCAGGCCTAGATTAGAATTCTAGCATAGAAAACACTTTGTTGACCTAAAGATTAATGTAAGATTTTACATTTGAAAACACTTTCAAAGCAAAATTACTATACGAATACATGTTATATGAATACAATTGACACAAAAATATTTTTGCTTAGAGGGTAAGCCTATAAATAAAGACCTAAAAATCACCATCTAAACATCACAAGTGCCAAAATATACAATTAGGATATAAAAGTATACTTCAAGTAGATGCTTAAAAAGTTTTTACAATTTATCTATTTCATTAGAAATAGTCTTTTTGTATCTCAATTTGTTACTGGTCTTTTGATGCTATTAACACTGCTTTCAACATGCATGCATTGTAAAAACCTTAAATGAGAAATAATATTACGAGAAAAATAACATCATTGACAAAATACATAGCATTTTTTTTATTAAAAGGATTTCTGGCAATTGATGTCCATTGTATATACAACATGTAAAGGACTCATGGCAGGGCATGATGGAATAATATGAGATGCTCTTAGGAAATATTCATCTTCTAGACAGTTTGCTAGTATTATTTTTGCCCTTTATGGATTTTTTTTCAGATTTAAAAGATGAACTGGGTAGCTTTCATAAAATGTTAACCAACCATTCTATAAGCATGACTTAAAATGTCCCACTTTCAGAAAATGCGTCAAAGGTCCTAGACTAAGCAGTATGAAGGGGATCTAGGAGTCTTATGTGGAATAAATGTGTTTGACTGAGATCCTTGACAAAGAACAGAGAGATTTCAGTGGGAAAGGGTCTGAGCACTTTCAATCTGACCAATCTGACCGAGATGTCACCAACCTGTGTAAACCACCTGAGGGAGAAAGTGAAGAGCTACAATTCTTCTCCATCTCTGAGTCACAGAAGGGAACAAAGACAAAGCCAGGTATGGTGGCTCACCCCTATAATCCTAGCACTTTGGGAGGCTGAGGCATGTGGATCACTTGAGCTCCGGAGTTCAAGACCAACCCGGGCAACATGGCAAAACCCTGTTTTTACAAAAAATACAAATATTAGCTAGGTGTGGTGGTGCACACCTGTAGTCCAAGCGGCTGAGGTAGAAGAATTCTTTGAGTCAGGGAGGTGGAGGTTGCAATGGGTGAAGATTGCACCACTGTACTCCAGCCTGGGTGACAGAGCGAGACCCTGTCTCAAAAAAAAAAAAAAAAAAAAAGCAGGGGAAGAGGATCAAAGACAATGCAAGGTCATAAGCAAATCCAGGAGGGCAGCACTGTTGAGCGTGTACACATGGGGGAGTTTCCGGATGGTCCAAGAGACTCAAGAAGCGCCTGAGGTAGAAGAATTCTAAAGTAGGCCTTCTTAGGACAAGGAAACAAAGCTTCCAGGAGGAGGCAGCCTTCTGGGACAGGTTCTACAACAAACCCTTTCTTTGCAGCTGCTGTTACCATATTTGAGGGCCTTAAAATCTGTGTGAGAAACTCAATTGGGAGTAAAGAGGGACACAGGAATGGGCTGCCCCAGGCATCTATTTTCACCACTACATCCTAATAACTGAGGTTAGGTGTAAGGAGTGTTTGAGAGGTGCCTCATTCAAGATGGGAAGAGACCAAAAATCAGAATGAGGGCTGAAGAGTTCTGCACTGAGCCATCCATAAAGAAACTCCTCGGGTGAGTAGCAGAGGAGGGGAAAAAAACATTAGCAAAGAGCTCTTGGAAATAAACATATTCTTTATTAAATTACATATTTAATATTGTAAGGAAACTGTCATTAGTCAGAACCTCTATTCAATAAATGTTGCCATGGTGACAACCATATTTTCAAATTCATCAATTTTTTGCCCCCAAATCTGGGACATCTAAATACAAATGAAATAATGAATAGAAACAGCAGGTTCAGAACAGTGAGTTTAGTGAGCCCCTATTTTTGTTTTTAAAAAGAATACATACACATCACATATATCTATATATTTATGTACATACGCAGATATACACTCTACTAGTATCTGTACTGAACAATTCTGGAAGGAGACACAAAAAACTGGTAGCCTTCAGGGAGAAGAACTGGTTAGCTAGGGATGAAGGTAGGAGGAAGGCTAACTTTTTACTATACATTATTTGTATCTTTTTTTTTTCTTTTGAGACAGAGTCTTGCCCTGTTGCCCCAGCTGGAGTGCAGGGGTGTGATATTGGCTCACTGTAACCTCCGCCACCCGGGTTTAAGCAATTCTCTGCCTCAGTCTCTTGAGTAGCTGGGATTACAGGCACCCGCCACCATGCCCGGCTAATTTCTGTATTTTTAGTAGAGACAGGGTTCATCATGTTGGCCAGGCTGGTCTTGAACTCCTGACCTTGTGATCTACCCACCTTGGCTTCCCAAAGTGCTGGGATTACAGGTGCAAGCCACCAGCATCCAGCCATTTCTATCTTTTGAATTTTATACTATGTGCATATAGTTATTTATCACAAAAATAAACGATTTAAAGACAGTCTAGTTCTAATAACATTTAAGCAGGTAATAAGTTATCATAGATACAAATCAAGATACCCAAGTGAAGCCCAAGTTTTAACCAGCTGGATATAGGATTCCTAACAGATTGGGTTAAAGAAAGAATTAACTGCTCAACACTGGCTACAAAAGCAGATTAGGTCATCAGTGAAAGGCAGAGAGACCCAGAGTGAATGGAAAAGACATAGCTTGCAGTCAAATGTACCTCAGCTCAAATGCAGGCCTTATCACTTACAAAGTGAATGATCTTTTTAAGTTAACTTCTCAGAGCTTCAGTTTTCTCACAAGCAAATACAATTACTTCACCTTTACATGAGGAAGTTGGCTGTGCGCAGTGGCTCACGCCTGTAATCCCAGCACTTTGGGAGGCCGAGGTGGGTGGAGCATGAGGTCAGAAGATCAAGACCATCCTGGCCAACATGGTGAAACCCCTTCTCTACTAAAAATACAAAAATTCCAGCCTTACCAACATGGTGAAACCCCATCTCTACTGAAAATACAAAAATTAGCAGGGCGTGGTGGTGAGTGCCTGTAACCTCAGCTACTTGGGGGGCTGAGGCAGAATTGCTTGAGCCCGAGAGGTGGAGGTTGCAGTGAGCTGAGATCACACCACTGGACTCCAGCCTGGGCAACAGAGTAAGACCCTGTCTCAAAAA